CCCAGTTTTGAGTTATGGCGGCTATTGTCTGACGTCACTGTGAAAAGGGTCTACTCGCCTCCTGCTGCGGTGTGGCCAGAGGGCCACATCTGGTCTTGATGATATTTTAAGTTGTATTTTCTATGTTCTTTAAGTAGTTTCTCATATGTTGTTGACAGCCCTTTTGATTCTTTATACAACTCTTTATTTATTTGGGCTGATATTGTTTTTCTTTTGTTAGATTCAGGGTTGTAACATTTATTAAATGTCTTTTCTGTTTGCAGTTGCTGAGGTCTGGTGGCGGTGTTGGTGTGGTAACAGTGTCTTCCTCTTCTGTGTGCTGTGATTCCTGAGTTTGGGTTGTCTTTAAAGGGTTTTTGTTTGCTGTGTTTGGTGGATCTCGTCGCTTTAGTTGCCCCTTCTGCTGGTAACCTCAGCTACTGTTTTTTTTCTGTTTTCTTATTTGCTTTTCTTTTATAGGAAACTGTTTGTAAAAATAGTATCTTAAAATAGAAATTGATAAATTGCTTTGTGAATCACAGTCCTGTCTCAGATGTCATATCTGCATATCTGAATCTGTGTACCTATAAAATAGACTGTCATATTTTATAGACATTTAAATGCAGAACATTTAACACTGCTCTGCACATTTTAGAAGTGTCTGTTCCAGAACACCTGATACAAATGATAGCATTAGCTCATCCATTCCATCCAGTACTACAGAAGCCTATTATTCAGCAATATATTCAGGTGTGTGGAAGAAGGGAGACACCTAGAACATGCAGGCCAGGCTGACCTAAGGACCAGGATTGCAGGACAAATGCCTACCACCGTTGCCAGCATTGTTCCAATTAATTTAACTCTTGGAGCTATTTTAACAAAAGTATTTAATTATGGCTGTTATTTTTGACTAAGTATTTTTTTTTTACAAAATAGACCTGACTCTTTAAAGGAAGGAACAAACAGCCACAAAATCTTAAAACATAGTTTGATGACACCTTTTGATACATAGCAGGCCATTTTCGACTGTGTGATGGATGATTATGTTCACAGTTTTAGTTTTCCAATCCTGAGTCATGTAGCTTAAATTATTCTTACCCTTGAAATGCCAAGTACCTTCATGTGATGCCAGACTCCAGTCAAGGTCTCATTCACACCCACTACCTTCAAATCACCATGCTGTCAAACATGAAACCATGGAAACAGGATTCAAAGTCTCCGTGCACCGTCAAGAGTAAACATACTTCTCAATGAAATGAATTTTTACCACATTGACATTCATTTTAGAACTAATGTTTTTCTTTCTGAAGGGGGCTAGAGCAAGTATTCTGAGCCAGAGTACCGGCTACGTTGGTTGAGTTGTACACAGAAAAGACTAAGTATTTTTGTAAGTATTTTATTATTATTATTAGACTTTTTTGTAGGTCCTCACAAGATACACATGTGTACTAAGTTTCATAATTCTGGGATAAAGCATCGCTGGGGGCTGATTTTTTTTTTTTAATTCTAGGGGGCGCTGTGGAAGAATTAGGCCACACTCACCAAACAGTTTACTGTAGTCCTTTCGAGGGCTGGACAAGTATCGATCTCAGTTAGTTTGGTGCAGCTGGGAACTAATGAGGGGGAGTTATTCCACCTTGAAATTTCATGGAGAATGGCCAGATTTGAGGCTTGGCCATGCCAACATGCTTTGACATAGAAAAATTATTTTGCTAACTTTTGATCTTCAATGCCTCAAGATTGTGCTAACTGAGTTTGAAGCCTGGATCTCAAAAGCTCTAGGACGAGTTCGCTCAGATACGTCAATGAAATAGACAAAATTGCAACCTTGACCTAAAATGGCCGACTTCCTGTTGGGTTTGGACCATGGCTCCAAGAGACTTTTTTGTAGGTCCGGACAAAATACACATGTACCAAGTTTCAGAATTCTGGAATAAAGCGTGGCTTGGGGCTGATTTTTTAAAATATTCAAGGGGGCGCTGTGGAGGAATTAGGCCACGCCCACCAACTATTGCACTGGATTCCTGTTGGGGGATGGACAAGGATTGATCTCAGTGAGTGCAGCTGGGCTGAAATATGTGGAATCTAGAGCAAAATGTTTAGTGGCGGCGTGACCTGTGACTTCGCCATGCTGAAACGGCCACGCCCTACACTGAAAACTCTTGGCGCTTTAAAACTGCTTTTACTGATGCAGTCCTGATTGTATGTTGATTGTAGATAAGGCCTTTAGAAGGTCAAGGTAATAAGCTATTAATTTCTGTGAATAAACTAATCGTATACCTCATTGTGTTCCAGAAAGTGCCCTGTTCCACAAAAAGTAAATCAGTTTCTCAAGAGCCAAATGGGCTAATCATGTATAAAAATGTAGATATAAACAACTCTCATTTGATTAAAGTAGGGGAAACCTTTATATTAATCAGGTGCAATTGGTCTCATCCCAGTCAAGTTTTCTTTGTGTCAAAGGGAAGAATTTGACATGTGCTATGTGCTTCCTCAGAAGGGGTTGTTCTATTTTTTTGTGTAAGAGATGCTTCAGATAGCTCTTTACTTTAAAACTGTTGTGTATGAATGAAATAAATTGAATTAGATTGATTTGTATGATGAGTGCCAAACAGTTCTGAGGTGAGTAACCTGTCAGAAGAAATTGATATTTTATCAGAAATCTAATTATGGATTCACTTGAGTGAAACACTTCAGTGCCTCTGTGGACTGTCACTGTATAATCCTGGTTGGATAACACCAAAAGTAGAAACATAAATGAAAGGTACAGTCAGGCACAAAGGCTACAATAAAGAAATGCTTTGATATTGTTGGAGTTTCGGAAATGTGACTTATTTTTATAGATGTTATCAGGGTATGTTATTATAAAAGCTATGCAAGCCAATGTCCCATACATTACCTGACTGCTTTTAATCAAAACAAGTTTTAATTCTTCAACTACCGTATTTTCCGCACTATAAGACGCATCGGATTATAAGGCGCATAGAATAGATGCTGCAGTAGAGGCTGGAGTTACATTATGCATCCTCTAGATGGAGCTGCACTACAGGGAATATCAACAAAACAGTCCGACTCCGGTCGGTTAGGAGAGCCTTCCGCGACTGAGCCGGGGCATGGCCGGACGATGGTCACCCTTCTCAGTTCGCGCACAGCATGTTCGTGGAGAAAGTGGTGCTAAATGACCTGCAGACGACCTGATTATAGACGATCGGTAGGTAGATAGGTCAGTCAAACTTTGTTAACAAACCAGTATTCTGACAACTATCCCAGCATGCACCACGCGCTTCTTCTTCTATGGGCGAAAATGAAGTCGGCGGCTGCTTACCATAGTTGCTAGACCTGTTGTGGCTCAATATTTGTCCATATATAAGGCGCACTGGATTATAAGGCGCACTGTCGGCTTTTGAGGAATTTTAAGGTTTTTAGGTGCGCCTTATAGTGCGGAAAATACGGTAATCAGGGAGGTTTATGGCTAAAATCAAACATCATACTTGGCTTTTTGCTCCTGAACTACTCAAGAATATGACGCCAATGTCTACAAAGCTTGATTCATTTTTCCTGGGTGCGTTGGAGAGCACTCAGGCATAGACTGGTTGCCATTGATGGAATTGTCGGAGATGACCGTGGAGAAAAGGCAATCTAGAGAAGATCCAGAAATAGGTGAGCTTATGAGTTAAGGAACCATGAAGGAATGAGGATCTTCTGAATGTCAACACCAGCAGGTGAAGAGCTCCTCCAACAGACGTTCTCTCATAGCGAAAACACAGACTCACATATAAAGCTCACACTCGCGCAGATCCTGACACTAATGCAACACAGTGAACATATGGCTGACCCCCAGTGTGTTTAAGTGTTTGCCTACTTTGACAGAAATATGAAAACTTTCTTGCAAAGAAATTGTGAAGATAGGAAGACTGAACTTCTGAGTGGGTCAAGAAGAGCAGATGGGCAAAGAGTTGATAAATCCTAGCAGAGCTCTTTTTAAACTGTCTCATTGTAGTTTTTTTTTAAACAAATGAAAGAAATTAGGGAAATTAGAGGTTGGAAATGCTCTGCTCAAAAATTTACGAATCGTTCTTTTGTAGTGGCAGAGCTGGTTGACAAGAGAGGAGAGCTGCATTCATTTCAGGTCTTGCAGATATTTCAAAGTTGAAAAATGCATCAGGAATATTTTATTGATGGAAACACAGATCAGCCTTTGATGGATGGCATTTGATACCTCAAAACAAACGGCATGATGTTTTTTTTACTAGTAAAAATTGTGGCCATTGCTTATGTCCTTTAGCGTGCCCACTAAATAGTTAAAATCTTCATACTGTTGGACCAACTGTGGACCATGTGACTGCGGTCATTCTTTGCTTTTATTTTGAAAAGCAGCATATTTCTTCTTCATGGTTTTTGTGCCATACTGCACTTCCTGTTCTTACCAACCACTGTGAGACAGTGTGAGATACTGAAGGAACCAGAGGAAAGTCTTTAAAATAGCACATTTGAAAAGCAGAATGAAGGTTAAATATGCACAGTTGTGTTTTGAAATAAGAAAGGTAATAAGGTAATAAGAGATAGAACGTCATTACAAAGGTAAAACAAAGTTTACCTTTGTTTCAAAAGATAAAACTCCACCTTTTTAGGAGGAGGAATATGTAGTGTTAAAGACCCTACATATTCCTTTGGTGAACATTAAAGGGCCAGTATTATGTAACATGTACTTTTTTAACTTTACATCATGTCATATGATAATATGTGGATGTGCCATTATTTCTCCAGCTGAACAGAAATAAAGCCAAAGTAATTATCTTTGGAAGTAAAGAGGAATGTTCTCACCTGCTTCGTTGTTGACCAACATCTGGATGACTGGCAGTAGGTCCTGGATGCAGCTGGAAAACATTTTTGTGCATTGTCAATACATAGCATCAGGGGAACGGTATGGGGGAAGTAGTGATGACAATTCTAGGGGCCCTAACCAACAGGGGGCCCTCCACAATTTATTTATTCATTTTTTGTTCATAGAAATAAAATAAAAAAATCGGGGTCCTGTCAATTACAAAATAATCATATTGTATTTTCAAAAATTGTTT